GCAGCCCCCACGCTGACCTGCACAGCTCTCCTGCAGCCCCCACGCTGACCTGCTCATCCTCCAACTTGCACTCTGCTTCCCCTCTCCCAGGCTGGCCTCACGCTCTCAGGATGGCTCCCAACAGCTCCTGCCTGAGCAGCAAACACAGAGCCACCAGGGGCAGCACTAGGAGTCCTAGCTCATATGCTTCTTGGTTCCTCATGCATGGTCACTCCTAGACACACAATTCAGAGCTTCAGGTCTGCTGCGGGGCAGCCTGGCCCGGGCAGAGGCCAGGCCAATATGTATGTCCTGGAAGGCTAGGTGACAGTAGGACTTTGAAGGTCACCAGAGGCCAAATTTGGTGGCCCCTGTGCAGAGCCAACTCTCCTGTCGCTGTGCTAGGCCCAGAAACATCCTGGTAGCTGGAATGGGTACCTTTGTAGATGAAGTCACTACCTTCCCTCCATCAACATTCTGAAGGCCCCCTTATCACGGTCTCTTCTGTGGAAGTCTTTCTTGAGCTTGCCCTCTCTTGCTTTCAAATGATGGAAGTCACTGTTGTCATGTGTTGAAGTTTCTGGCCAGACCTTACCAGTTTGGGTTCCCAGGACCAAAGTACCAGAGCTCCAGGGAATGGAAGATGGAGGAGAGACCACATCCCTCTACCCTTCACCCATCCTAGGCCTGTACAAGCTTTGCCTGTACTTACCATACCCAAGATTCTACCACCTGGTAGCTAAGTGTGCTGAGCAAACCCAAGAGTGGTCATGCAGTAGAGGGTCTTACCCCGTCTGCCCCCATCCAGTCCCAGCTGCACTCTGCGCACCCTGTATACCCAGGCATCCTACTACCTCACTCTTCCAAGCAAACAAGAGCTGAGGGCCTTCTTCAAGGGGAGCTGAACCCAGGAGAGAGAGCACTCTGGGACTCATCACCCAGGGCTAGGGTCTTTCTTGTCTCTCAGGAAGCAGCTTGGTGTTCTAGAGTCCAGTGAGCTGGTAAAACTGATCTGTTCTAACCATGACAGGCTGTATCCCCCAGTGCTTCTCAAGGCACATCAGACATAGATGACAGTCACAGGACTCTGCTCCTCCCTGCACCCCAGTGTACCTGCCCAAGGTCACCCCATACCTCAGGGTCTTACCTAGAAAGGTACCAGTGAACCCCAGTGCAAAGAAGCTGGACAGCACAAATACAATGCCCCCACTGAGGAGCACAAGGCCGAGGAAGTAGGTGGTGTGATTATCCAGGCCTTCCATCTTGGGCTGGCTCACCATGGCCTGTGTGAAGCTGTGGAACAGGGGACAAGGGCCGACAGCATGTCATTGCATATATGGCAAGTCTCCTGCCTTTCTCAGAGTTGTCAGCCCTGGGGTCACACGTTCAATAACCACTGAGGCATTACAGGTAGGACTCAGGCTCCTGAATGAACTGTGTAGTCTTCCGTGTCTTGAGGACTACACAAGACCAAAGACCCAGGCCTGCCAGAGCTTTTTATCTTTTCAATGAGAAATCATAAATTCTGACATAAATGCAAAATATCATTTATGACTTCATGCACATTAGCAGGGTCCTCTAGAAGAACAACAAGCACTCTTAACCACTGAGCCTTGACTTCTATTTTTTAAACTGGATTGAACTTTCCCTCAGCGATGAGATGGAGGCTGCCTGCACTCTGCTCCTCCCAGCAGGCCACCTGAGGTGCTCACAGCTCCAGAGAGGCTCCCTCCTGTCCCTATGCTTCCGCAGCCTCAGCAGTGGGCTGCATTTGCAGGCAGTCATGCACATGGTGTGGGAGAATTGTCTGTATTCTGTCAATCATATTTTAATAAAACGCTGATTGGCCAGGCAGGCAGTATAGGCAGGAAAGCCAGACAGGAAGTAGGGGTGAAGCAAAGAGACTGGGAGTATTCTGGAAAGCAGGAAGCTCCCTCTGCCACTCCTGTGCAGATCACCGAAGAGGCAGCATGTAACTTGCCCAGCTGAAAAAGGTACCAAGCCATGTGACTAACATAGATAAGGATAATGGGGTAACATAAGTTATAAGAGCTAATAAGTAGCCTGACCTAATGGGCCAATCAGCTTTATAACTTATAGAGTTCTCTGTGTGATTGATTTTCTCTGGGACTTGCCGGTTGTGGGGTACTGGGCGGGAACAGATACCCCAACAAGCCGGCCCTCATTTTACATGCACAGGGCATGCATAGGTGGCCTGAGCTTCCATCTCAGGCTTCTCTTCACCTGCTCTTCACAGTCCAGCCAGGCCAAGCAAGACCAGGGAACGAGGCATCTGGTGGGCATGTTTCCTAATACAGCAAATCAACATCTTATCATATTATTCCCTATTCCACCCCCTGAGTTCATGGCTACCACACCACACTAACCAAAGCATCTTCCCAAGGTCTCCTGAGCCCAGCAGCATCCAGAGGGTCTCCTATACATGGGAGGAGGGGGCAGCAGTACGGGTTGGAGGCAGGCCACGAGCTGACTGTGAACAAGCAGATCCCCAGCCTCACTGCGTGAAAGGCGACATACAGCACTGTCACTCCAGGCTGTGTTGGGGCCTCAGCTGAGAGGGCAGATTCAGCTCTACTTGGGTACCATTCTGGTTGGCCTCCCCTCACTCCCTGACCTTCCTGGGATCCAGAAAGCTCAACTCAGACTTCCTCTTTGCTTCTCCAGCCACTCACAGGGACCTCTACTAAGAGACAGCTGGGGAGAAGAGGTTCCAGTGGTTCCCTAGTGCCCAGCCTGCTTGGTCATCCATACTACCCAGGGGACTTTCTTTAGCCTGTGGCCCATGAGAAGACTGCAGCTCAGGTTGCTAAGGGAGGGGTTTCAATGGATGCCTCCCAATCCAGAAGGTTCCCTCCTTACTCAAGATACAGCCAGAACCCAGCCAGGGCCCAGCCAGAGCAAACAGTTCTTTGCTAATCACTCCCTTGAGTCTAGACTTCACCTTTACCTCCAAATAACAAGTTATCTTATTGGCCCTGGTCTCTTCCCAGACCACCAGCTAGTGCAGATCAGCTGCTACATCATGAGTCCTAGGGACTTGCCAACCACTGCAGAGTCCTGGCATCACCAGAGGCAGGCAGACTTGACTCAAGTGCACACGTGTTCTCCCACCATGATGATGCAGTATGGCACACACCACCTGGGGTCATTGATGTGAGAGTCCCTCTGTATGCTGTGAATACCACTGGTGAATAAAGAAACTGCCTTGGCCTGTTGATAGGGCAAAAGAACAGAGCTAGGTGGGGAAAACAAAACTGAATGCTGGGAGAAAGGAGGTGGAGTCAGAGACACAGACGCCAGAACTTTACCTTGTAAGTCACAGCCACATGGCGATACACAGATTAATGGAGATGGGTTAAATTAATATGTAAGAGTTAGCCAATAAGAAACTAGAGCCAAGCAGTGATTTAATTAATATAGTTTCTGTGTGGTTATTTTGGGTCTGAGCGGCCGAAACGAATCAGTGGTCTCCTACAACAGGGCATTGCATCCCAGATAATGATGAGGAATCAGAGGAAGCATTCAGAACAAGAGTTGGCATATTGATTGACCGAGCAGCACTTGCCTGGCAGTATGAAGCCTGGGTTCCTTCTCAGCAAGCACCAGGCTGACCCTTGAAGACCAAGGCAGGCCAGCATGGCAGAGACTGGTGGTAGCCACCTCTGAGCACAGGGCTATCATTTGGGATGGGGAAAAGTTTGAGAACCAGGAAGAGGAACCAAATTGTGTACCAGATATTAGTTCATGTGTACTTTAACATATACACAGAACACACACACACATACGGACACAGTGAGATACCAGGACTCTGGGGACCAGATTAGTAGGGTACAGCAAAGGACTAAGGGTCTTCCCAGCTCTCTGCTGGAGTCGGGTGCTTGAGTAGGTGTCTAGTCCAGGCACAGAAGCACCCCCCACCCACTCTTGCTGGGGTCATTGCACTAGCTGGGATTTTTTTTTTCCTATGTGGCCCAAGCTGGCTTTAAACTCCTGGGTTCAATCATTATTCCTGTCTCGGCCTCTCAGGTAACTGGGACCACAGGCATGTACCACCGTGCTCAGTCTACTGTATCATCCACTGACTCTTCTCATGGTGTCCTAGCTTGGCCTCAGCTGGGCTGTGATGCCATTTCCCTGGCACCACCGTCCTGGCCCTGGTGCCCCAGTAAAGTGCCCTCACATGCAGGCATGTATTCCTATGTGCCCACCCTGGCTTTTGCTTTCCCACCAACACCCTTCAAGAAGTGGCTACCAATCACTTCACAGAGGAGAAAGGCAAAGTTCACAGAAGTAACCTGTTTATGGTCACCAGTATTAAGGGACTGAGCTGAGGCTGACCGAGGATCTGATCCAGCTGGCTTTGATTCACAATAGAATCCAGAGGTTACTGAGCCAAGGATGGTTGGAACACCTTCCTATCACAGCCAAAACAAGATGTGAGGGCTACTGTCAAAAAGACAAGGAGCTCAGTGTTGGGAGGAGTGCAGAAAAACTGGACGGCTCGCGAGCTGCTGGCGGGACGCAGAATAGAGCAGCCACTGGAGAAAACAGCTCGGCAGCATTAACAGAGTGATCCTGTGATGCAAAATTTCACCCCTTGGAACACATCTGAAGGAACCAAGAAACCCGAGGACTTGCACATATTGCCCACAGCTGCACTTCTCAAGGGAGCTGCTAAAAGTGTCACCAGTGGATGGGTGCGCAGAACCGCTTAACCTGCACAGCAGAATGTCACTAAGTCTCGGAGGAGAAAGTTCTGACATGTGCTCCAGCAAGAAGAGGTCATTATGCTGAGTGCACTGAACTGGTTACACACCCTGAATCCTCCTACACCATGCTCCCGGAGAATGGCATGAGGGACAGAAGCAGAGATGGGGACAAGGGCCAGCATGTGGGAGGGGGCTAGGGCTTAAACGGTATAGAGTGTCAGCTTTGTAAAAGAAAAAGGTTCTGGAGATAGGTGGCAATAACAGCTGAAACATAACAGAACTGTTTAACATCATTGAACTAAACCCTTAGAAATGGGTAGGAGTGCAGTGCTTCCCTGGACTGTCCTTATCCAGGGGGCCACATTAAAGCCTTGACTGCTGTTTGGTGAGGACAGTAAGATCAGGCACATGCCAAGGCTGCTCCCATGACCCAGCCATGCTCACTTAGCATTTCTGAGCATTGTCCTTCTTCTCCGGGACCACTGCTCTCCAGCTGGTGCTGGGGTGTTCCTCGGGCTCTGCAGCTGCACAGGAAGCAGCAGAAAGGGCCTTGCTGGGCCCCAGGTGAGTGGGGGCCTGCTGGGAAGGATTGCTGCTGGTCTCCAGCTCTGCACTCTGGAGCAGGTCTGCATCTCTGACCCCAATCACCTCTTCCCTAGGGGTCCTGCATTATAGCTAAACCCATCAAAAGTCCTGCACCCACCCCAAAGAGTCCTCAGAGAGAGGCAAGGAAGCTAGGCATGTTGCTCACGCCTGTAATCCCAGAATGCAGGAGATCAGATTGCTACAAACTCAGGGACAGCCTGGTCTATAAAATAAGCTCCAGATGGCCTGGGCTACAGAGTAAGACCCTGTCCCCAAACAACAAACAAAACAAATCAGATGAGGTTTGGGAAGCCAAGCAGAGCCCAGAGCAGTTAGGCAACCTGCCTACAGCTGGGAGATTAAGAGAGAGCGATCCAGGTATCAATTAGGCTGGTCACAGGTGTGTCACAAACTGCGCTGACCCAGCTCTGTCAGGAGACCCCCATCCTAACAAAGATATTTAAAAACAAAACCCACAAAAGGGTGGAAGGGGAGCCAAGACCCCACAGGACCTAGTGAGAGGTGTGCACAGGAAGGACTTCTCACAGCTGACGGAGAGACAGGGCCCGTCAGCATGGCTCGTGGACTGGGGATGGGCAGAGCTGGCTGGAGCTGGAAAAGATGGAGTAAGAACTCAAATGGCCCTTTGAGGTGGCCAGGGAAAGGGGAACAACCTCTGACTTGATAGGATCCCTTAAGGGTTGGGATGGACATGGGCTCCCTAGGTTGTCTGAGGAGATTAAAGATGCCTTCCTACCAGGTACCTAGTAGCATCCATTTCTAAAGAAGCCTAGGAAGGGAATAGCTGATTGGTCAAGCTCATAGT